GGAAAGTCCTCATGGCTGGCACAAAGGGGCTATTTGGGGCCACCTGCAGGGACAATTTCCCAGCCCTTGGGTCCCTAATCTGGATGCAGTTTCAAGCCAGAAGCTCCTAAGGGCTATCTGTCATGGAGAGAATGGCCCTAGTGACTTGAGGCACTCGAAGCGTGCTTTTCAGGTGAGGATTCATCACAGGGGCGAGCACAGGAGTGTGGGAAGCCCTTCAAACCACGGGGTCTTGTCTCCCCACGGGGACAGGAAACGGGTTGTTTTAAAAACCAGCTTATAGGGGCCGACCTGGTGGCGCAGCTGTTAAGTTCTCATGCTCTGCTTTGGCGGCCCTGGGTTCACCAGTTCAGATCCCGGGTGCGGACATGGCACCGCTTGGCAAGCCACACTGTGGCAGGCATCCCACAGATAAAGTAGAGGAAGATGGGCACGGATGTTAGCTCAGGGCCAGTCTTCCTCAGCAATAAGAGGAGAGTTGGCGGCAAATGTTAGCCCAGGGCCAATCTTCCTTAAAAAATAAATAAATAAATAAATAAACCCCAGCTTATTGAGATCCAGCTCACCCATCAGGTCATCCCATCAGGTCACCCATTTACTGTGCAATTTGATAGTTTTTGGAATAGTCACGGCTGTGCAGCCATCAGCACAATCAATTCTAGAACACTTTCATCTCCCCTACCCTTAGCCATCGCCCCCCACCTCCCCCCCACCCCCGCAACCTCTAATCCACTTCCCGTCTCTAGGGAGCTGCTGGTTCTGGGCTTTTCTTAGGAATGGAGTCCTACGATCTGTAGCCTTGGGTCTGGCTTCCTCCATTCGGGGTCATGTTTTCAGTGCTCGCCCACATTGTACGTGTCAGCACTTCGTTCCTCTTGCAGCTGGGTGGTCTTCCATCGTGTGGACAGACGGCATGTTGTTTACCGTGTTTCTGTTGGTGGACATGTGTCTGTCTGCCTTTGGCTGCTGTGCCTGGCGCCGCTGTCAGCACTCACGTCCAGTTTCTGTGTGGACATGTGTTTTCACTTCTCCTGGGCGTGCCCCAGTGTCCTGTGGGTCTTGGTAACGTACGCCTTCTTCACAACGATGTCATGACTGAGAGTTGGGACCTCAGGTGACTTGATGTGACGCCAGCTGTAGTCTGAGGAGCGGGTACTGAAAGAGACGCCGGCTCTGGCCTGTGGCCCTGCTGCCTCACCTGGCCTACCCCACCTGCAGGACTCTCACTTCCCACCCGACCCCACCCCACCCCACTGGAGCAGTTGCTGAGAGGGCAGTTGGCAGGGGTGGGCCTGCAGGTGCAGGTGCACTGGCCTAGCCACGTACTTCTGGCGCCTTGGCTGCTGCACGCTGCTCAGAACCTCCTTTCTCACTATCCTTCTTGCTGTGGCCACTCCAGCCCTTTGGGACGGTCCCCAACCAGCAGCTCCCCATGTGATGAGTAGGGACCTGCAGGCTCATCGTGGCTTGTTCCACTGAGGCTGAGAGGGAGAGCAACATAGCGGTGAGGTGCCCCCTGCAGCCTGTCCCTGGCTCTACCGGCCTGGCATTCAGCGATGGGGCCTCGGAAGCCCCAAGCCCCAGCAGGGAAGCTCGCACAGCTGAGAGCTGGGTCCATCCCACAGCCATTGCCTTCCCTTGACTGGGTTTTCGTTTCACCCACCTCCCTTGCTGAGCCCTCTGCACTTGAGAGCCCGTCCATGTGCCCACGGGCATCTCTGGGTGGGCATAAAATACCCAGGGACCTGGCACCTGGCCTTCGCTGGGACATGGGTGCATGCCCAGCCTGACGTGTGCGCCCTGGCCTCCAGCCTTATTGTGGTGGATTGGTTTCAGCAGAAAGGGGAGCATGGCACTGCTTTCTCGCGGTAGTCGAATGGACTGTAAACGTTCTGTCCACTCCTTCTGTCCAGCGAGGATCCCACTAACCGGCGACAATTGCTACAAGCAACGACCACTTCTGGGTTAAGTTGTAGAGGAATCTTTACTTTCTGGTTCATATGTTGTGCATTTTTTCCCTGAAATATTTGATGTATTGAGTTCCAACTTCAAACACGTTCGCTCTAATCATTTAGCTTGATTGTTAATCTGAATTGGGCTCTGAGATTTTAAAATGGAAAAAGAAAACCCTGCCAGACTGTGTATCCAAATGGTCCACATGGTCGCTCTTTCACAAGAAGGCGTATCCTTTCTCCAGGGGTTTGTGTGGGGTTATATTTACTGGGAGTGGGACCTGTTTGCCCACCAGGACACTATCCGGACCATCAGGCAGACGTCAAACATGGTGTAGAAACTCAAATACTTTGTCTCTTCAGAAGTGAGCTTTTGATTTAATTACTTGGATGTAATGGCTGAGATTAAACCACGGGTGCATTCAGAGTAGAAACTTTAAGGAAGAATTTCACATCCACAAAACTGGGGGCGGAACACACTGGGGTCCAAGGGTGAAGCTGTTTGCCAGTGCTGTGCACCTGTGTGCATGTGTGTGCACATGTGTACGTGAGCTGTGTCCACACTGAATTTTCAACGTGATCACTCCTTCCTTACAAGCCACCCCAGGGCTGTGTGCTGTCCTGTGGCTGCCACTGGCTGTGGAGCTGGGTCTGCCATGGTCCCGGGCCATCCTGCCCCCTTCACCGAAGCAGAGGCGAAGGCTGACCCCTCCAGCTGGTGCGGGCTGCAGGCTGGCTGGCGGGGCTTGGCCAGCCCGACCCAGGGCTAGCCGTCCCCAAATCCTGCAGTGCTCTGAGGGGTCAGGCCCCTTTGGTGGCCTGGGGATCATTTTTTAAAAATAATTAATAGACCCTAAAAATGTAATACTTACTTTTTTAGAGCAGTTTTTGGTTTACAGAAAAACTGGGCCGATAGGACTGAGAGTTCCCACCCCCTCACCCACGCAGTGTGCCTATTTACACTTGCACTAGCGCGGGATGTTGTTATAAGTGATGAGCCAATATCGATACATTATTGTTAATTAACGTCCATGGTTTACCTGAGGGTCCACTCTTTGTGTCTACATTCTATGGATTTTGATAAATGCACCTGACACATATCCACCATTACAGTATCACGTGGAACACTTTCACTGCCCTAAAAATCTCCTGGGCCTCACCTATTTGTTAATGTTTTAAATGAATAAAGACACATAGGGTTACAAAGGAAACCAGGTATTTTGAAATAACTATCAAAATATAACAAAGCAGATGTGTGAAGTGGTGACGTGTGTGCTCCCCCCGCTGGGTGGTGCAACCCAACCCCAGAAAGCCCCCGCAGTTTTGAGGTTGTGGTGAGCGTGGACAGCACTGCAGTGTCTGCAGCAAGCGAACAGCGATACAAACACGTCTGTGCTCTGTTAGAGCCTGAAGCCCGGGGACCACGGACGTTCCTGATGGAAGGAAATGCTAAATTTCAGTTAGAGGTTAGTGAAGGGGAAGTGTCATTTTCTCCTGTCCGAGTTCACAGACCCCCTGAATTAAGGACCTCTGCTCTAGAGGAAACATTGACAGCCTGTGAATCACATATGCCAGTGGGAATAGAAAATGTCTTTTCAAAACCAAAGATGTTGTTCCCGAAATCTCCACGCCACAAGTAGCCAAGTGGGTCCCCAGCTGCTCTGTCCACACAGCTGGCTCCGAGCGGATTCAGTTACCTCCCAGTAGAGAAAACGGGTTAATCAGGAGAAGTTGATTAGGCTTTGTGAGAGGGAGTATAATTACTGCCCATCCTCACAACAGGCGCCATGGTTGCCTTTCAATGTCTCCTGGGCTGGGGAGTTGGGGCCCGAGGGCTGGGAGAGGCAGAGGAGCAGCCGGCTGTGGCTCCCCCAGGTCCAGCAAGTGGCCCGGGCGCTGCCCACCTTCTTCATCACCATTCTCGCCTTTCTCGTCATCATCATCGTTGCCACTGTTGTCACCATCTCCTTGAGGATTCCTCGTGCATCCCTCGTGCACAAGGCGCCCTGGAATGAGCAGCACCATGCAAATTCTTGAGTGCGTGCCGCGGACAGGCGTGCAGAAAAGGTGTGGGCTGGTCCAGGGCCTGGCTCGGGTCCCTCTTGCCCCACGCCTTGGGACACATGCGCTGCATAGATGGAGGTGCAGGTTCAGAGGAGGGGAGGGCATGGCTTGGAGGGCTGTGGGAGGGCCTCCCTCAGGAGGGGCTGGAGCAGCCTGGAAGGATGGAGAGTGCGGTGCCCTCTGGTCAGTGTCAGCCTTGGACCCGCAGCTGCTCGAGGTCTCCGCTGGCTCACGACCCCCACGCCAGCCCCTCTCTGGCTCAGCATCTCCCGCGGGCACTGTGCCTGGGTCTCCAGCTCTCCCTCCCCCGCTGCACCCACTCGTCACATTTTCTGCCCCACTTGTTCCGACCTCCTTCCTCAAGGCCCACAGCTGCCCTGCGCTCCCCCTGGATCTGGCCGAGGCCTGCGCTCACAGCAGGCGCCTGCGCACCTGTCAGTCCCTCCTCCCCTGGAGGCCCACCGGCCCATCTGGTTGGCGGGCCAAGGCAGAGGTCTTTCCTTCACCCTCCTCCAGGTGGGCGCCTGGTGCGGGAGTGGGGAGGCTGGGTGGCCTGTCTGAGGCCTGAGGGAGAGCCCGGGTCAGTCAGGCTGGGACTTAAATGTCAGCCTGCACCCAGGGGCTCAGTTACCAAGTGTCCCTGTCTCTTCTGTGGTGACTGCCACCCCCTCCACATGGGACCTGGCTCTGGGCCAAGGGGCCAGCAGGGCGGGGTGTGCCAGAGAGCCCGGGGCGGGGGGGGGAAGGCCAGGGGTCTGAGCACCCATCTGCCCCTCCCTGATGTCCATGCGCTGTCCCTGGGCCCCATGGAGAGCCCCCAGGGCAGGCCCTGGCACACTCAACCCACCTGTCAGCCAGCGGGATGTGTCCTGGAAGACAGACAGAACATTCCATGGCCTTCCACCCCTGTCCTCCACTTCTGTACTCTCTTCTCCATTTCTCCCCCAAACGGAAACTTCTTTTTGTATGTTCATATTTTCTGTAATGAGCAGCTTTTATGATACTTTATTTCATTAAAACGTGATTTATATAAAGAACAGAAAATGCAAGACAAAGCCATAAGTCCCCAGAATTGTTTCGGGGGCCCAGGGTGGCCACACTGACCCCTCTCCCAGCTGGGGCTGGGCTGAGCTGGGCTGGGCGGGACCCTGGTCCCCAGGGCAGAGGGGGCACCCCTAGAGGGGGAGAAAGTGGGAGCCAGGGTCTCATCCTGCCTCTCGTGGGGCTTCTCTCTCCTTCCTTTGTGGTTGAAAAGCTCCTGTTTCCTAGCAGGACACTGAACTCAGCGCTGCGAATCTCCTCCTCTGGCCAGAGCAAATGGGCTGGTCCTGCAGCAGCTGGTGTTGGCTGGTTCTCCTTGGTCCGAGCAGAGAGCCATCACTTACGCGGTACCTTAATTAGGAATCTTGACAGGCCATTTGTTTCCCGCCTCTGTCTTCGCCTGACAGAGACAAGGGACAGCTCCATGGCCCCCGGCCTCCCAGCGGCCCCCAACCCCAGGCCTCCCTCTCCCCTGCCCTGGCCTCCCCTCCTCTGGGGTCTGAGGAGTCTCGTGGAGCCTATCCTGCCAGGAGGCCTGTGGGTTCAGCAGGGAATGGTCACCCTGGGTCCCCTGGGAGTTGGTGAGGGGGGTCCGAGGGTGGGTCAGCCCAGCCCCGCCTCACCTGGCTCCTGGCTGCCCCGCTGCCGAGCCCAGAGCCTTCCCAAGCATTCCTGAACCCTGGGACCCACCTGTTAGCACAGGCTGGCCAGGGGCAGGAGGCCCCAGAGAACCGGCTTTTCCAGCCGCCCCACATGGCGGCCTCGCCCAGGCCCTGAGCTGCTGTGGTTCTGAGGCGGAGTTGCCAAGGAGACGAGAAGGTGGTTCTCCAGGTCGGGGTTGGCCTTGAAGAAAACTAGGAATGGTGCTTCTTGTCTGAGCTCTACATAAAAACAGGGACCTGAGAAGACTGTGCCAAGCACCCTGGTGCCCGTGGGTCCCAGGGCGGTCAGGACAGGGGCAGTCCGGAGGCTGGTAGTTTGACAGATTCAGGGAGGAGAGGGGGAGGGCAGAGGGGGAAGGAGAGGAGGAGGATGCTGGGAGGATGGGCCCTGGCTCAACCCAGGCTTTCATGAGCTCACACCACATGCTCATACCCACGGCCTCTCACACAGATCTGCCCCCACCCCATGCCCGGCCCATCTGGGCCCTGCCCAAGGCCCCTGGGAGCCTATGGTCAGGCCAGCCTCCTCCCTGTGACTCCGGATTGGGGGCCATGGCTTGGCTCCCACAGACCCCCCCACCCAACGTCCCCTCTTGCTATCTGCGGACCCCAAGACATGTGGGCTGCCCTGAGAGCCCCTCACCCCACAGCACTGCCCGAGACGGCCCTCCTGAGCCTGCAGAGGGAGAGGCCCATCGTCCAGTTCCTCAGGGCAGGCCGTGAGGCCCAGTGGGCAAACCCTCAGGACCGCTTCCTGCTGGCTCCTGACTCAGAGCGAGGCCGGAAGACCTCGCAGGAAGTCCCAGCCCAGGGGACCCCACAGCTCCCCTAGGCAGGGGCTGGCGGTGGGGACTCAGGTATTACTCTCCCAGGGACCCCACCGAATCCACTTGACCCCTCCCTGGCAGCTCTTCTAGACCCTTCTGCCTGTCGACACATGTGGCCATGGCCTGCCAGTGCCCAGGGCCCTCAGGAGCAGCCACAGAAGGCTCAGCTCAGGGAGGCCCTCATGGCCCAGGCTGGGCCCTCCCCTCAGCCCAGGCCCCTTCTTTCTCCCCATCACTGCCTCCCCCTCCTCCACCTCCCCCTCCCTCCACCCTCCACCTTCTCCTCCCCCTCATCTTCCTCCTCCCGGCCCCCTCCTTTTATTCCCTGACCCTTCCCCTCCTCCTCCCCCTCCCCCTCCTCTGCTTCCTTCTCCCTCCCCCTCCTGCAGCTCCTCCTGTTTGCACTTCCTCTGCATCTCTCAGGGTGTGAGTCAGCAGGGAGCTGAGAGGCCGTGTCTCAGCCGGTCAGTCTAGGAGCCCTCCCCAGGCCTCCTCGCTTCCGGAATGCACTGTACCTGAGGCTTCCTTGGCATTTGACCAGTGTCAAAGCCAGGCTCCTTCCCATGGGGGAGGGGGGCAGGATGGAGAAGCAGGAGAGCTCACCCAGGGGATCCCACCTTCTCCTGCCCTCCTCACCCTCATGCCCACCTTTATTCTGCTGCCGGGGCCCCGGAAGCTGACCAGGGCCTTGTCCCTCTGCAGGGCCTAAAACCACCTCCCTCGTGCCCCACTCCCTGTGAGCCCCCCAGCTGGGAAGGGGCAGTGGGGAGACAGGCTGGAAGCAGGAGGGGCTGGGCGTCGCCAGGAAGTGTTGCTCTGGCCAGGGCCTCATGCCCCTGGACACAGCCATGTGAGCCCAGCTCATGCGGGGCAGAGGGGGCAGCGCTGCTGCCCTGGTGCTGCAGGTGCCTCGACTGTCTGTCCCCTGCAGGCCCAGCCTTGCCCAGGACGGACCTCCAGTCACAATGATGAGGATGATTTTAGGCTGGTTACTTTTGAAAACTGCAGTCAGGAAAGAGACTCTGAAAGGTAGAGTTTGCTTGCCCTTTGATGAGAGGCGTTTGCATTTGTGAAGGAAGTCTCCATCTGTGGGGGTGTCTCCCTCTGCACCAGGAGGAAGGGGGGATGACCTTATCTCTAGAAACTCTTAATGGGGACAGCAAGGACTTAAGTCTGCATAATAATCTCGTTCTTGTTTACTGTGTGGTAACCTCATGTAACCGACCCCCCCACCACCACCAACATCCTCCTTTGTCTTTAGCTGAAGATGATATTTAAGGTGGTGGCTTCAGCCATTTACTTAATCCGATCTGATTCTTATCTAAAGTTATAGGAACACCCAATAACCAGACCCCACCTGCACTGATACCATTTTAATGACTTTTTTTTACATATTCTTTCCTTTGTCTTGTAAAGAGATAACTCATATACGTGTGCTTTAAATTTAGCCCTACCCTCAAACCAGGCAGCAGCTCTTCACTGTCCATGGGTCCTGTCCCCACGCTATTCTGTAAAGAAAAGAGTGCTACTGCCAGACCTTGAGGGTCCAAGAAATCTTTCAACTCCTCGACTCAGCAAGCCACATCAACAACAGCTCACTAACAATGGCCTTGCCTTGGGTCTCTCCAAGGAAGCTGTGGGAGCTTCCGGCCCCACCACATTGCTTCTGCAGGTCAAAGGTGCCCTGGCCCATTCTTGAGGTCCCCACTGCCCCCACCGTGGTGGCTCAGAGTCAGCTCTCATCCTGGGTGGGAGAGGGACGGGTCCAGCTACACAGCCTCACTGCCCCAGTGTGCCTGCAGAGGTGAGGGCACCCCTCCCACACTGCCCCCAACTCCTGTGGCCACCAAGCCCAGCCACCTCCCCCTCAGCCTCCCACGTCTCTGGTGGCCACCTGAGCCTCCAGGGTGTGGACAGAGCCACGGGGAATCTGTTGCCACCCAGCTAGAGCCCAGTCCTGGATGAGCAGTGACCAGGCGGCCGGCAGCAGGGAGGGTGTCCAGGCCCCGCGGGGCCTCCTCACAGCCCCAGGCACTTGAAGGAAGGAAGCACTGAGCACAGGCCTTCTCCAGGAAGCCCCCAGCGCTGCAGAACGTGGGGTGGGCCTGCGCGGTGCTGACAGTTCCCGCAGTCATGGCAGCACCTCCTCAGGCCTGGGAAAGAAATGCTCTGCAGCTTTGGGGACAGAGTGGACTGAGAGATTCCATCCCCGTTGTCCTTGGCAGGCCAGCGCCACCAGGACCAGGGGCACCAGGAACCCAAGGCTGGGGTGGCCCACCTGCAGCCCTGGCCCCACCTGGAGCCTAGGCCACACCTGCAGCCCACACCCCACCTGCAGCCCTGGCCCCACCTGCAACCCACGCCCCACCTGCAGCCCGGGCCCCACCTGCAGCCCACACCCCACCTGCAGCCCCGGCCCCACCTGCAGCCCAGGTCCCACCTGCAGCCCATGCCCCACCTGCAACCCATGCCCCACCTGCAGCCTGGGCCCCACCTGGAGCCCACGCCCCACCTGCAGCCCACGCCCCACCTGCAGCCCGGGCTCCACCTGCAGCCCAGGCCCAGGCCTCAGTAGGACCCCAGGGTTGAGAGCAGATTGTGGCCCTGGAACCATAGAGACCCCACTTCTTCTCTGATAGTGGACACCCAGAAGGTCCTTGTGGCATTCATGGGACAGTGTCATCTCAAGGCAGCTCGGCGGCCCACCTGCCACCAGAACTCACCTACCCGCTGCCCTCCTGCCACCACCCATGGAGATGAGTGCCCAGCAAGTTCCCAGGGTGGGCACCTATGTGCCAGGCCCTCAGACACAGTCCCTGACTGCGGACATAGCCCCTGCATGGGGACACAGCCCCTGACCATGGACGCAGCCCCTGACCAGGACCCAGCCCCTGCATGAGGACGCAGCCCTTGACCAGGACACAACCCCTGACCAGGACGCAGCCCCTGCACGGCGATGCAGCCCCTGATCGCAGACGCAGACGCCAGTCACGGACACAGCCAGTCTCTCATTTGCAGGACGGACACTCGACAGAGAAGCAGACACAATCTGGAGAGCGTGTCAGGTGTAACCGGGGGCCTCCTTCGTGCTCAGGGGCACATGGAGGCCCGATTCTGTCCCTAGATGTCAACATTAGACAGGAGACCTGGGGTGCCCAGTGTTCCCAAGGACCCTGAGGGGCTGGGGCATGTCCCGGGAGGAAACCTGAGCTTAGCTGCCGATCCCTCAGAGGCATCCTCCCCAACTCCCTTCACGCCCAATGAAGGCTGCATTTCCGCTGCTGGGCCTCCCTCGAAACACCAGGAGGAGACAACGGCAGCAGCAGCGTCTCTCTCAGTGTGTCCCCATAACTTGGGGCAGGGGGCCTGGACCTCTGGAGAGGACGTGGGGGAAGAACTCGTGCTCCCTGTGTGGGAACACAGCCTGGGCCCCAACACCCCGTTCTAGAGGACCCCCGAGGGGGGCCGGCCAGTTCTTCCAAGAGCCAGAGTGCTGGGGGGGCAACGTGGGGGGGGTGAGGGGGGTGATGGGAGGTGAGAGAGGGGTGAGGGGTGAGGCGGGGGTGAGGGGTGAGGCCGAGGTGAGGGGTGAGGTGGGGCAAGGGGGTGAGAGGGGTGACAGGGATGAGGGGTGAGAGGCGGGTAAGGGAGGCGATAGGGGTGAGAGATGAGAGGGGTGAGGGGTCAGGTGGGGTGGGGGGTCATTGGGGTGAGGCAGGGTGAGGGTGAGGCGGGGTTGAGGTGAGTGAGGCAGTTGGGTGAGTGAGGCGGGTTGGGGTGAGTGAGGGGGGTTGGGATGAGTGAGAGGGGGTTGGGATGAATGAGAGGGGGTTGGGGTGAGTGGGGGTGTTGGGGTGAGTGAGGAGGGTTGGGGTGAATGACGGAGGATTGGGGTGAGTGAGGCGGGTTGGGGTGAGTGAGGGGGGTTGGGATGAGTGAGAGGGGTTGGGGTGAGTGAGGGGGTTGGGGTGAGTGAGGCAGGTTGGGGTGAGTGAGGCGGGGTTGCGGTGAGTGAGGCGGGGTTGGGGTGAGTGAGGCGGGGTTGGGGTGAGTGAGGCCGGGTTGGGGTAAATGAGGTGGGGGTGGAGTGAGCATGAGAGGGTGGAGCTGAAGGCTGAGAGGGGGAGCAGAGCATGGGGGTGCCCTGGGGGGTGAGTGAGGAGGGGTTGGAGTGAGTGAAGGTGGATTGGAGTGAGTGAGGCGGGGTTGGGGTGAGTGAAGGGGAGTTGGGGTGAGTGAGGTAAGGTTGGGGTGAATTAGGGGGGTTGGGGTGAGTGAGGGGAGGTTGGAGTGAATGAAGGGAGATTGGGCTGAGTGAGGTGGGGTTGGGGTGAGTGAGGCAGGGGTGGAGTGAGCATGGGAGGGTGGAGCTGAGGGCTGAGAAGGGGAGCAGAGCATGGGGGCGCCCTGGGGCATGAGCCTGGGTGGCCCAAGGCGGAAGCTGCAGACAGGGGCGGGGCCCTTCCTAAAGCCCGGGGTCTGGGGCCTCACCATTCAGCTCGCAGTGGGAGCTTCCAGGCTGCGGGTCTCCCACGCTCACTCAGTGGAGCTTGCAGCAGCTCATAAATATTCATACAAAAATTGAAGCTCTGATAAAGAGCTAACCTATTGCTGATACTTGTAAGTTATTTCTGTATTAAAAAGATTGAGGTGTTACCCGACTGAGGTCCAGGAAGGAGTGGGACTGGGCCGTCCCCACCAGGGTCTGAGTGAGGTCTGGGACCCTCCTGCTCGCAAGCATGGACCTGTCGCCAGCTCCAGGGACCTCAGGAGGAGCCTGGCAGGAACCGGTTAGCCTGGAAGAGATATGATTGAGAAGCAGCCCCCAGCCCTGCCCATCTGGGCTGCGAAAGCCTTGCGGTGGTTGTGCAACCTTGTAAGCCCCACACGCATTTTCTTCAATTTTTTTCAGAACTTTTCTGGTCCTCTCCTG